ATGGAAATGTCTATGTAATAGGCAAACCAATTACGCAACACATTGTTGTCTTCCATGAGTAACCCAGTCTGGGGCCCACGGAGCATAAGCTGTTCTTCTTTCAACGAGTTGAGTTCATCTGAAAATTTCGATAATGCTCACGTGAGCCGCTAAAAAGTCGCTTTTTGTTCGAGTTTATTTTCCTCAGAAGAATTGGGAGATCAGTGTTATCATCACCGTCACCATTATCGTCTTTATCATGATCGATTTGGATATTAGTTCTTTCTTTCAGGCGAAACAACCATCCCCTTCTGTCCTAGTGGGAGGGGGGAGATTATACCAAGGAAAAATTCACAAATGCTGTTGATGTATCGTTCTAAATAGCAAATCGGCTTTCAAAATTTACTAGCAGGTTGACTAACGTAACAACTGAAGTAGGTTTGCTGGGATATGCGAATGAGTGCGCACGATTGGGATCAAGCGGAACTGAGGGAAACTCTGGCGCTGAAGAGGTCCAAGAAGGACGGAACCGGTCGTGGGCTGTCGGAGATTTCCTAGCAAGGTTACGGGCAACGTTCGGTGTCTGGAAAACACATTGCGACATATCGAATATCGTCCCAATAGAATCACACATTCAATTAAGGGATTTCATAAAGAAGAGAACCATCTGGGGTTCAGTTAGGCTTCCACTTGAAATAGTATTAGCCTGCAAATTGGTCTGTTCGTGGATCGGAGACGTCCAGCCAAGTGGACAATTTCTCAGGTTGACTGAATCATATGACAGACGGGGAAACGAGTGACCAGATCCCTTCCAACTGGCAGACTAAACCACTAGCCATCATGTCCGTCAAAAGTCTGCTGGTTGCTGTGCGCGATTAGGACTTACTAGTGTTGGGAATGGAATACAGCTAAGAAGACAAGGTTAGCGAAATGCACTCATTTGCAAACTAATTTGGTTTTGCGAGAGATTCACCTGGAACCCTGATGAACCTATCGTCTGTGATGTTTCCAGGTAACTGAAAGTGCTGCACCATGTTTCAGTCCCTACGATATTCGAGATATCCACTACATATGTAGTTTGTAATGCACTACTCATAAGGTTGCTGAAAACTCCTCGACAGCCCACGACCGGTTTCGCCCTTCTGCTCTGGGCTCATCAGGTAGGCGCAGTCCCCGAGTTTCCGTAAACTTTATGTTCTACTTGAAACCAAATTGCACGAAATTCGCGAATATACACTCACTTGCAAACTAATTCGGTTTTGTGAGAGACTCACCTGGAACCCAGCTAAATCTCTCGGTTTTGATGTTTCCAGGCCGCCCTTGTTTCAGTTACTACGTTATTCGAGATATCGCGATACATGTGTAGTTGTAATGCACTACTCATAAAGTTGCATAGGAGGGATTTTCAGCAACCTTATGAGTAGTGCATCACAAAGCCTAAAAGGCATGACAAATAGCTAACCGTTCAGATCTAACACCCTTTCGATGCCTGACTGTCAGGCCTATCCGAAGGAAGTACGAGGGATGAGATACTGCTAGATTCTGCAAGTTTAAACTGACTCAGAAGAGACGCCTGAGTTAGTTGGTTTTGAACCATAGACCTTCCAGGCAGTAAGTTTCCTCCTTAGTCACTGAGCTCAAAAAAGAAACATATGGGTGAAAAGTGGAACGCTATCCAGCAACGAACCCACCAATTTCTATCACACATTTGATGGCTTCTTGGTCGGTTCCAAACGTTCTGATTGAGCCAAGCTAGTTACGCGAGTGTTGCCGTCCCCTCATCTACCCAAGTGTCACACAGCACAAAGTTAAAAATTCAAAAACCCGTAAAACATTGACTAACTAATTGAAATGACTTGAAGAGCATTTCGAACAACAGTAATTAGTTAACCAACTGTGGGTGAACCTGCAAGTCCAGTTCTCGACCAGATGGTCAGTACAGTCCTCCGAGTGAACAAATGATTTTGTTTTCGCCTAACCAACCAACTTCAATTAAAATAGTCCACACCTGATTAAACTGTTTCCAGTTGTGGTAAAAAAATATTTAATTACGAGGGACCTTGTTCAACTTGTACTTTTTTATTGATTATTTGCTAGAATTCGTATTAGACCTACATTTAGACGGATATTTATGCTCACTTCTGTGTGTCTGGAGTCTGAAACGAACAAGCGTCAGGTGTCTAGACCTACGTTTGCGGGATATGGAGACAAGCGAGCGCGCACACTCACATCTGACTATTGCCTTGTCGTCATTTATTCCTGACCGAGGGGAAAAGTAGCGAATAATATGTCTGTAAGAGAGGGATGAATAGTGCATTGTTCGCTAGGTGTTTAGGACAAGCAAAAAAATATACCGGTGCGTTTAATTTGATTCTCACTGTGCACTCTTGTGTCTCTCCGACAAAATTTGCACCCGACGATGAAATTAAAAAGTTGAATACATTTGATCGCTGATCAGGAGCAGATTCCCTCTGAACTAAAGGCATCGCTCCATATTACTATATGGATCAGAAACCAGGCCGCTGCGCGCCGAGGACGTCAAAATACTTTCAGTGTTTGACCATCGATGTCTTCGAAGCATTGCCCGAATCTGGTAGAAACACCGGATCAGCAATGCTGAAGTACGTCAAATGGTATTCGGGAGAAATAACTCACCCTCGATAGATGAACTAATCACACTGCATAGGTTGCGCTGGCTTGGCCACGTGCAGCGTATGCCAGTCGACCGACTTCCTCGAAGGGCTCTTTTCGCGCAATCACGTGAAAGGTGGAAGAGAGCCAGAGGTGGTCAAACATAGACTTGGCAGCGAAGTGTGAAAGCCATTACCAGCATACTCAGCTGCGCTGGGCATTGCCGAGACGGTTCATATAAATGGCTAGAGATATGGTCAGACATGACCCAGTCGCGCCCTCAACGACGCTCATGGATCCAAGGTATTGCCTTCAATGTATAGTTCCCTTCCCAATTCCTCCACTTGACAGGCCACTGACAGTGCTGGATTTATGCACCAATTTATCAGCTCCCGCCTGCAATGCGCAGCTACATCCCCCCATTTCAACAGTGAACGAAACTGCGGCAGCTACAACCACTGTACGACGATGATGAAAGGTATCGCTGAAAGAATCCGAAAGTCTCGTCTCTCCGTTGGATCTCTCATTCAGGTGGAAAAAGCAATAGGTAACCAGCAGCAAAAACAAACCAAACCCCCGACTTAATGAAGTAACGATTCAACGACCAACGAAAAATACAGTGTGGAATATATTAGCGCAAAAATGTGTACCATCATGTTACAAGTTCCAGCTTAGATGAATTGCTAACCTATGGTCTTGTTGAAAGTGCGGATAGCACCTCGAGTCATCAACCTAGTCAACTGGTCAACTGTGCGCTGAGGCTACTGGTAAGACATGTGCCTTCCCGACTTTGTTGGGATAAGTTTCCAATTTTAGCACCCTATCTGGACGTAACAGAAATCAGACATAGGCAGGGTGGGCTAAATGTACCCCCTGAAGTGTCCTGTCACAGTGTTGAATATCTCCCAATGGATGGGTCACACCAGTAATGGCTTCATGGTGCATTAGCTATTATCCAGCTGTTGGTCAGGATCAGAAAACGATCAAAAAGGTAATCAAAACACCTGAGCTACCAGTATTCAGAAAATCACTCTGCATGTTCGGCTGCACAGCTTTAAACATCATTCGGCTGTTTCTGTGGCCTGAAACAAAAAACACTCTGGTCCAAGAAAATTTGATAAAATCTACATGTATCACCTTCTCATTCGTGGGAAAATGTTTCCATTGATCACCTATGATGGAACTTTAGGGTCCAAGAGGTACGACATTCAATCCGTGTCTAAATCAATCACTCATATTCTGTTATCAAAAACGTCCGCAATATCCCTGCATTCTTTGAATGCGTTGACTTCCCGCAGAGAGAACCACCATTGTTCCCAAAAGTCTGGTGCACCCAAAGTTGAACATTATGGTGTCTGGGGTCTTCGAATGAGTAACTAACAAGAAGAAATTACATTCAAGTCGAATTCAAGCGTTAAAGGTTTGGGCACCGGATAATCATTGTCCCTGAGAGACAGAGAGCTGAAATCTTTCAATAAGTCGGCACAACAATGCTTACATCACATGCCGGAACGCACCAGAAACCTTTTCCAATCGCTCTTGTACTAGGAAACTTCCAGTCCTGATCTTCACTCACCCGCGAGCCTTTAGGAGACATTCATGACAAGCAGTTGCAAACCACTGAGGATAATTCACTGAATCGATCAACCTCATCATGTCTGCTTCGTCGAACGGTACTTCAGAATCTTGGCCGGGAGAAGTCCGAAGCACCTCTGCGCTGCACACTCAGTTGAGGAACAGAGAAACAGAAATTCACTCAAGTGTTACCGTGATGTCTCTTCGGTTGGAAAAAATGCGTCTCGTTTACTGTACGGAGAATGAAACAAGTGTAATGACAGTTCGGTGATCTGATTTGATTGGTAAACCTGAGATCATCGAAGAGTTCCCCTCCAGGTTTTAGAGTGATATTTTACATCAGATATAATAATGTGATATTTTTGCATCGGTTTTACTTGAGCAGTGTGTGGTCTGCTACCACCAGAAACGGTAAAAACGAATCAAATTCTTTCAAGTGTCAATTTGATTTCATCGTCCAGGGAATTGGGTTGAACCTGATGCAGCAGACCTAACGATAACTTGCCAAGTTACACTTAGGCAATTCTGCCGAGGAATTACTTCAATCTGTTCAGATTTAACATGAATCGCCGACTGATATCCGCGGGTGCTTTTAGCATCATGTCACGGCAAGACGTGCGGAAAGACAGCCAGAATGCATCAACGAACTGTTGAACTTCGTTGAGGCGTCTGGTTTACATTCCATTCTGTGTGTGATCAACATCTACCTGTCTTGACCGATTTCAATTTCAGGATCACCTGGAGCCCTAAGCAGCTATGCATTATATGCATCTTATTCTCAGTGTACAAAGAAAACAAACAGCGATTCTACTCACCATGCTTCCACAGTCACCTCAATTTCGTTTTTTCCAGGGGCCTTGACTTCTTCCGACTCAACTCGAACGTGCTTCGTGCCACCGTACGCGCTCAAAACCACAGACCTGTATTTTGGCACCTCGACCGGAGCTTCCTCCTGCTTTGCGGGAGTCGCCTCCGACGTCGTGGGATTAGGGCTCGCTTCACTCTCCGATTTCTCCGTCATTAGTATGCACCGTTATCTGCTCTCGTCCAAACGATGCTACGATATTATAACCGAGATGGTATCCGACGGTGTCAAATGAAGATTTACCACCGTGATAAGCAATTACGAATATTTAGGTCCCGGTCCGTGATAAATTTGCGCAGTGTCGACCAATCGGCATTGCCTATCCGGGTGCGTCCGTGCGTCTGTGCGCTCGTGCATCCGTGCATCCGTACGTCCATCGATTCATGCAATCGTGCGGCCGTGTGGGATGAATAGACACACAGAGTCACCTCGACGGAACGAATGTTCCAATACACACGTTCACAAGGGCTTAGAAACCATGTGGGCGCATGATAAGGACAATGTACAAGTGGGGACTTTCCCAATCTAGGCAACTGGATGGACGGTGATCAATATGGCTGGTATGAGTTTAGGGTGATAGCAAGATGAGGTAGATCAATACTAGATGGACGAGTCACGATAACAAGTAGCACGTTCTCCAAACGGCCAGATAGGAGGCAGAGTATGCTTAGTGATCTGAATTTTCATTTGTACTTTGTGCACACAAAAGATTACAAGAAGTTTTGGAAACAACTCAACTCAGAATGTTGACCTTACGGGTGTTGGATGGTTGGTTTCATTTTTAGGTGGCCAGGTTGAGAAGCTCAGGATATGTGAAATAGTGACAAAGATAAAGGCTAGAAGCTACACAAACTCACCTAGTTACGATTTACGCAGATTTATTTACGCAGCTGCACTGGGGGTATCTATTATTGCTAAACAGTTTTGGGTGATCTATCTATTTGAAAACAGATCCTCCTTAGGAGACTCGATAGTTTCTTGGCGGCGCTGACACAATTAAAGTTGTTAGTCCAATAGGACTAGGTTGGACTAAGAATAATCCTGAACCAGGAGTCATGTGGGAAACTGGTAGGCTTGTTTTCCATTACTTCAGCCAAGTCATTCAACACGCTGTTCTTGATTCGACGAATCCTTATCAGATTTTCTGAGGACTGCTCAGATTCCTATATACATAGTGTACGAAATGCCCTTATGAATTTGTATATGATTCTGATAAAGTTTATTGTTGATGAACTGGATATTCCAAAAAGTACCAAATGGTATTTTCTCTTGTAGAGAGGTACACTACTTGGGAGTACAAATGATCTGTTCAGCCGATAGCTGACCAAAGAGCGGAAAGGTATGAAGTTCATGTCAGGTTGTTTTGTCTGCTTACAATCCAATACAGCATAAAGTAATAATAACACTACTAAAGTAATAAAGTAACCGTTATTTCTCACTTATCATTTTCTGCCCAACTTTTGGAGTGAAGACAAGGAAAAAACGTTTTATCATCTCATTTTCTGGACAGCTACCTAAAACTAATCAAAAGTTGTCTGACACCTTTCAGGCGCACACGGTGCTGCTTAACCGGAGAGTCCTGATAAGTACCTGAGACACTTACTGAGTCATCAATCGGGGAATTGGACAACCGAAGCTCACCGGATGCATTCAGCTTGCCCTAGAGGAGTTGCAGTATCCCGGTGGACCCACACGTCAGATGTGCCGGGATCAAACACCAACACAGCCGAGGATGTGCACCACTAATTAGCTCTATTCTAGTAAGAGCGAAGCTCCTATCCGGTGCCTCCATTTTCTTGTGTGGACTCACCAGGATAATCGCGCCTGAACATGAGAAAGACTGTTCAAACAAGAGTAATGTGAAAGCAAAACAAAAAGGTCGAATGCAATGAGCTGGTCTTAATCGGGACAACAGCTTAAAAGCATGACAGCCATATTGGGAAAATGATATATGATAATCAGCTTGGACAAGGGTGGATAGCTGCATATTGGACACAGTAGCTGACATAACTGATGCGTAAATCCAAGAGTGACAATGAACTTTTCATTGGGGATATTGCGAAAGGAATATATGCGCTGAAGGCAACAACTTGAATACATGATCAGTACAGAACGCGCGTCAGGACCATGTTTGACATTGTCGTTAAAGATTGATGTGTCCCGTCGAGGGGCCCCAATCGAGGGAGACGGCACTGATCCACACAGATGAGTTTTCTGGTGAAGCCTTTCATAATTCGTACCCAATTCATTGCCTAACCACCCCCCGGCACTTCTGTAATTTTCACGTTGTTTTGCGAAAAGGAGTCCCCAAGAAATTCGGTCGACTGGCATACGGAGCACTCGACCAAGCCATGGGCGAGGTGTATCTCACAAAATCCATTCGGCGTACTCCAGCACCATTGATCCGAAGTTCTTACCAGACTTGGACAATGATCCAAGGGGATGGATGGTTAGACTGCCTTCGTCGGTCAGGTTTTTAAGCCATACAAGACCGCAGGATTGTAAACTTGACCTCTGACAAATAAACTGATGTCATACCCGCGCTACCGGTGACGCAGTTTCACAACAGCTGCTCTGAACTTCCTGATCCAAGTGGAATTATCGTCCTTAGCTAGACCACCGCGTCTGCCCCGGTAGAAAAATGTATCTGTTATCTTTGGTCAACTCAATCGCAAGCATGACTTCTCGGTTCGGGCCTATCTAGACTTTCAGTAGCACTTAACACCTTGTAAGTGTGAAACACGTGCCAAACGGTGAGCCACCGTCACTTAATATCACCCGCATCACGGTGGTGTCAGGTACGAGAAAACCGATATCGCATGAATACTCGATCTTTGTTAGCAAACGCCCCGTAGGAGCATTTCGATCCCACTGGAATAAGAGGTTGGCTACTTGCCTTTCATTATCAAATCAGTGGTGAATTTGAAGATGGAAAGATGAAAGAAGACAATCTATTGGTCGAACAAACAAACAATCCGAAGGATGAAAGTCGTGTCTATGTTCAGTTTGTTCGTGATACACCATAATCCCCACAGATAGCCACTCGGTCAGGAATATTTTAGATGGTATTCTTTGTTCGCGACCTGGAGTCGGCTTTTTCTGAAGAGCACCAATGCAGTAAAACCGAGGCTTTTGGTGCATTTCAAGAGCTGAAGCCACGAATGCCACGAAGGAACTTTCAATAGACTAGTGTGGACTCGTTGTGTTTCGGATAAATTTACGACGGAACTAGGGGTGATGGTCTTCTCGCCACAACACCTAGGTCAGAAAGTTCCATGTGTGACCGATGGTCTAAACTGCTGGGACCCACGAGACACTGTCAAGGAATACCATCTTCCATGTGCCCTTTTTATGAGCAAGCGTTTTGGCCTACACAAGAAATTTGATTGATCAGCAGCATTCAAATCGATTTATTTGCGTACGGCCAAAAAGTCAACATTCTACACACGTCCCATCAGTATAAGTGTATAAGTATATATTATATTATAATATATTATATTATATCATATTATATTATATCAGTATCATATTATATTACATCATGTCATATGGCGTTACTTTATCTCCCTTTTAGCGTCAACCATTCGCCTGTGGCATCGCGGAAGTCTCTCAACAAAATAACAAGAATGTCTTTCAGGAAAGACAAAAGTGCCCAACATACACGCAAAGTGCACGTTTAACCGAACTTATTCTCATTTAAAACGCTAGGCGGTTTCTCAAGCACCCTCGTTAATATGCAGAAATCAAATGTTTTGTTTAAAAAACGGATTCTCCTGCCTGTCATTTCCTCGGGGAAATGCTTTGGGCTAATGATGGATTTGGCCTCCGAATCTCCAAGGGCAAAAATTATACAAGAAGTGAACGAACCCATCTGGCTCTGCCTTCAATTAGTGCAGTTCCATGCTCCTTCCCACTTTGAGAACGTCTTGGAAGGCATTTTTTGTTTCGGAAAGTCACAACCGTGTTTGGCAATCCTAGGCAGATTTGCGGAATTTGATGCACACAACCGCCTTTGGTAATGGAGAAAACAATCTGAAAGGAAGACACATTTGCCATCCGAAGCACTTATCGGGCCCCCCAAGTTGCTCGCTTTTCAAAACGACTCATGCACTGGGGACCATGTAGTAAGATCACACACAAAAACACACGAAACATACAAGTTCTACCATTGACCGTACAGTTTTTAGGCGGTGAAGTTGACTAAAACATCTGCTCACAAGCTACCTGACGCACGGTTTGAGTCAAATGACCGTTGGGGACTCCACACACACACACACACAGCACAGTTCAGCGCGCCATAGGCAGAAAGTTGCATACAGTGCAACAATGCCCTATATTACAAAAGCGTACCTAGCGAATGATTCCAGAGAAAGGATCTCAAAGTCTTACTTTTTCCCATTATGTCTACAGCGTTCGTCCTTCAAAAGTAGTCTCCAACGGTGATGCGCCAGTTAGAGAATTACTTATTCCTTTTGTAATAAGTGTCCTATGGTAACTGAGGAAAACGATAAATCTTAATGGTCATTTTGTCTTGTAAGTGAAGCCAATCTATGCTGAAAAGCTGAGAAGCTCGGCGCGGCATTTTCATCCTTATTTCCGAATCACCTGCAGTGTACTACAGGACGAAACCTCCAGAGGGAATTCCCAAGTGTCCTTATGCTAACATTACTGTCCATAGAAAGTTTTATGCAGGATCAGAATCAACACTGTTTGAGCGGCCGATAGTTCATCTCACAGGATAAAGAACAAGGCGTTCATGTTCCATTCGTTCAAATCGGTAGATGGGCATTTTTTTTACTCAAAGCGCTTCTCCCCTCTCATTCAACCTGTTGAGAAAATTACGCCATTTCTCCGATGTTTTTTTCGTAAAAATATCTCTGTTCTACCAAAAAAATCCATTCGTGTTTGTCTTGAAAATATTGAGGCGTATTTTCTTCAAAATGAAAAAAAACTGTGAACCCGTTCATACTGATTCCGTTTTTGAGTAACACTCAATGTTAAGTGAAGTAGCGTCCATAAAATAAACGATAAATCAATGCGATAAATCAATAAGAGCGGGTATCGGAGTGAGTGGTGTTCACATTGGACAAGTCCCGTCCGAATTATATCCTCTTCTAGTTAAACATGAATCACGTTCACCCGAAGCGCCAGTCCCGATGGCTTAAAAACTGCCCTCCCCAAGACGGTGATCTGGTTGAAGAAAGTTATCGGAACATTTGAGGTGTGCGT